AATAACAGGCAACCATTATTGGTGTTGGCTGGTGAAAAAAATTAACACCAGGTCAAATCTTCCCTGTGTTTTCTAAATAGCGCCCTCTGCTGACCAGTTGTGACAATGCAGTGTTTTCTATATGGAAGGCAAACACAATCTGTATTATTTCTATTTTATATTTATATTTCTTTATATTCTTTCATATTTTTCCTGGGCATCTATTATGCCAAGAAGTGTTTTAGATTCTGAAGAGAAAATAGGGAGTTCATGGAAGAGGTGAAAGAGACGGTATGAATTGAATTAAAAGACAAAAAAAAGACATTGGAAGAAAAGAAGTGCTAGGGGAAAAATAACACAGCACCAAAAGATATGGAAACCAGGGGTGGGAGCTTATGTTTTGGTAAGTGGGTTGGTCAGAGAAGCTGTCTCTGAAGAGGAGGCAACATTGCAGGGATTCAAAAGGAGTCCAAGCAGAAGCTGGGGTAGAGGAGGTGCAAGGAAACTAGAGTTATTCCTGAGGGAGAGATCCAGGCCACACCAGGCTTGTTCATGGTGCTGGCTTGGTCAGATACTTGTGGATGTAATGAAAAAGTTGTCCAGTCATACCTTGAAGTATTTGCTTCTGATTTTCTATGTGTGTAATATGAGAGAAAGAATGGAAGAATTCTGTGATTCCCAGACCTGAGCAGCTTGGAGGAGTGTGGTACCAGTTATAGAGATGGTGAAGAACAGTGCTCATTGCAGGTCTGTTCCTACCATGTTCAGGTTAAGTTGCTGATTAGAAATCTAAGGGGACATCTTTAGCCAACGTGATATTCAGTAGCCAAACCTAACAAGCACTTATGAATTTGCTGTGATTGTTTTTTTTTTCCGTCTCATCATGGGAGTCAAGCCCCTGCATCTTCAATAATATAGTTTTCATCTAGGGCCCCTAATACTTCCAGGTTCTCATTGTGTGCTTATTGAACTTTATTGAAACTAAAGACCACTGGAGCCATTTTGTGACTCTGAATCCTAGGGAAAAGACCCACATGGCTTGCAAAGTTGAGGAATTCACAGACTCACGGTTCCAGGTCAGGGTGACATCATGTCACAGAATTGCGCTGAATTTGTTTAATTTCCAAAATAGTCCCTGTTGATGAACTCTTCTCTAAGAGAGTTTCAAATAATAAAACTGAACTGCTCACTGAAAAATCCTCCAATGGGATTTCCTTATTGTCAGTGATTAGCTAACCTTTAAGAATGTTTTATGGGGGCTAGGAAGGTGGCTCAGTGGTAGAGTGCATGCATGAGGCCCTGGGTTCAATTCCTCAGCACCTCATAAACAGAAAAGGCTGGAAGTGGTGCTGGGGTTCAAGTGGTAGAGTGCTAGCCTTGAGCAAAAGGAGCTCAGAGACAGTGCCCAGGCCCAGAGTTCAAGCCCCACGATTGACCAAAAAAAAAAGAATGTTTTATGTTCTTGATAGGTACTGGTAGCTCATGCCTGTAATCCTAGATTCAGGAGGCTGAGATCTGAGATCATGGTTCAAAGCCAACTTAGGGAGAAAAGACCATGACACTCTGACCTCTATCCAGCAAAAGCCATAAGTAGAGTGTGGCTCAAGTGGTAGAGCCTTGGGTGAGCCTTGAGTAAAAAGCCAGTTGAATGAACTGCCAGTCCACTGCCCACAGTAATCAGGTCATTGGAAGAATCAGCTCTATCTTGAGTTGCAAAGGTATGTCTGGCACAAAAAAGTGTCTGGTGGTCATCATTCCCCAAGACCCTGAAAGCTGTTCTTTTGAAAGCTAGAGAGACCAAGACAAGCTTTGAAGTAAGGAAGAAGAACCTCCCAAGTTAAAGACTTTCTTTTAGGGCACATTTCTAATATTTCTCTTTCATTACTTTCCTTTGATGAATATTTTGGTAGGCTGTTCTAGCTGTGGACCACAGCACAGCATTTAATGATGTACTTGGCAGGTAAGCAAAGGGAATAATGAAAGATTTCCAAACTGTCCAAAACCATTACGGTATCTTTACTGATAAGCATATTCATTAGTATTACAGCTGTTGGCAGTAATCAATTTTAATACCTATTATGAAGACCTTGAAGCCGTTTCTCCCCTGTGAGTCTACAGATAACTTTGTTAGCATGTAGAAACTACCAGGTAGATCTATGCATCTAGAGTAGATGTTATTTTCAGAAAGTAAAGTTTGGGGTTTTCCAAGGACTGATTATGATACATACTGAGGCTCTGTCTAGCAGTAAGTGTTGGGATGGCTACTAGCAAACAGTCAGACAATGCCCAACACAGGAAATCAAGCCAGGAGCATGCAGAGCACAAGAGGAGGCCAGCATGTTTGCAAATAGTGCGTCCAGTATTGATGAACAACACATTACCCTTGACTGGTATTTTTTAGGCAGGAATAAACAGTGAGGCTGGTAGTTCTTATGAGATAGTTATACGTGAGAACATTGTTCTTATGACTTGCAAATGTAACAAAACAATCCTCATTGAACTAGGATTTGCTCCTTCTGCTCATCTTGTATTGCTAATGGCTCTAGACTTTGGGAGAGGACCTCAGGGGCCCATTCCAGCTGAGTCTTTTCACTTAAGGACATCCGTATCTTGACACCATGCTCCATACATTTCAGACGTGCATATGTACAAATACAGGATGAACACTGCTAACTCAACATCCAAAACTTTTTGAGGATCAACCAAGACTTCAAGTAGTTTCAGTTTGTGAAGTATTTCAGATTTTCAGGTTAGGGATATGCAACCTATAAAGTCTCTGCACATATTCCTAAATCCACAAAACTCAAAAAGGCATAAAACTCTAAAATCTGAAATATTTCCAGTCCAAAGTATTTCAGATAGTAGATATTGTGTGTGCATGAGAGAGAGATAAACATAGTTTTGAGACTGAACAGCAATCATCAATCCTGCACACACTTGCAAAGGATGACTAAAGCTGGATACAAGATTCAAACTTCTGCACCATGAAACAAATTGGTGAGCTTAGTGATTGAATCTGCTTATCTGAAATCAAATTGGCCACTGGTAGTAATGAGAACATTAAGTCATCTCTTTGGTGTATTATAATGTCTTTGTTCACAGAGGCAAAGATCCAGAGTCACAGGGAAAAGAAAATGTGTTTGGGTCCAGAAACATGGATTAAATCTCATTTCCATCAGTGAACCAGTATGATGCCAGGAAAATGATTTAATCCCTCTGAAATGATTTGTAAATTGTATTAAAATGGAATAGCAAGACATGTCTCCCCAAAACAGTGGGTTTGCCCTGAACTCTAGCCCCATCCCTTACACTCAGGATTATCAGAAGCCCAGATGGTTTCAACAGCTCCATTTTTCAGTGTTCAAAATAGGCCCCCCAACACAGTATGCTGAGCCTTCACTTTTTCCTTCTGTGACTCAGTAACTATGTTTTTCTTTTTGGTCCAGTACCATAAGAAGAAAAATAAACTAAAATTTTTTCGAGGGTTTTTTGTTGTTGTTGTTGTTTACATGGTTTTTGTTCAAAGCTCTTCGGTGTCCTCAACAAGGCAGCCCATTACCAAGCCCATCACATCTAGGAGGATCATTGATAACTGGCTTTCAAAATGACTTCATTGGACTAACTGTGGTGACTTCACACCTGTAATCCCAAGCTACCCAGGAGGCAGACATAGGAGTATAACAGTCCTATGCTGGCTGAGCAAAAGCTCAAGACCCTATATGAAAGATAAATGAATATAAGAATGGCTGGGACATGGTTCAAGTGGTAGGAGACCTGCCAAGCAAGCGTGAGGTCCTGAGTTGAAACACCACTAATAATAAAGGAGTTGGAGAAATTGGATTTCCATGAGAATCAAACTGTTACAAAGCCAAAGTGCATGTCAGCCTAATCTAATGGCAACAATAAAGGTTGGCCTTAGAGTTTGTATGCCCTATGCACCACTTTGCTCATATATCCCTGCTTCCAGGAATCTCCCTTGTTGGTGAACAACCTAGAATAGCATATTCTTACCTAAGACTTCTTGCTTGCCACTGCCCTAAACTGCTGTCTTTCCTCTGCCTAGTACCTTTATACTGTGCGGAGACTCATAATCATACCTGCCGTACTAATGGACCATCCTTATACAGATGCCTCCCGTCCACTTACTGTGAACTCCAAAGGGCCACAGTTACCTTCCCCTGACATCTTAGCACCAAACCCAAGCTATAGGCAATGGGCAGCTATTGAGAGAGGATTCTGGACTTAGCCTGTGTCTGCTATTTTTCCAACACAGACTGGTTTGAGTACATAAGGCTTGATTTGTGATGGACCGTGTACTTGAGTCCTCTTTATCCCAATTGTGTCAGTCCTCACCCCCCAACTCCCACCTCTCCAAATCCTGTATGTCCTCCAGCATTGTGGGAAAATCTTCCCTGGTAACCCCAGCCCTTACAGACTCAGTAAATGTTCATCAGCTTACAACCTTATGCCAAGCCCCCTTTTAAGGGTTGGGGCACACCGCTATAAACACATAGGTACCTTCCTCATGGAGCCTTTGTCTCCTGGCTCATTCTGAGTCATTCCAGTCATACATAATAGCCGCTGTCCAGTGAACTAGCACAAGGCCACAGCAGGGCCCCTGGGTCGCCTGCTGAGCCTGCCTCATGGCCAAACACTCAGTGGCCATCTGGTCTGGGTTGGAGGTCCATGTCTTGTTTTAACAGAGATTTTTCTGTACAGCTAAAAGTAAGATATTTTAAATGTTGAATGGACTTTTAGACTGGACAGATTTCTCATGGGCTTCCACTCAGCATCTATCTATGGTAAATCCAGTTATGGCAGACCATTTGGGAGCTACTTTTGGCCTGGGAGAGGTTTGTAAATCAAGTCCTTGCAGCCTCTGTGTGTGTGTGTGTGTGTGTGTGTGTGTGTGTGTGTGTGTGTGTGTGTGTGCTGCGTGTTGTTGTTATTATTCAACAGAACCAGAATAAATTATTTTCCTGCATTGCCTCCTTTCCCTCTCCCTGCCTCTGTTCCCATAGGTCAGCGTTGAAGTCTTGGTAGAGTATCCATTCTTCGTGTTTGGACAGGGCTGGTCATCCTGCTGTCCAGAGAGAACGAGCCAGCTCTTTGATTTACCATGTTCCAAACTCTCAGTTGGGGACGTCTGCATCTCGCTCACCCTCAAGAACCTGAAGAATGGCTCTGTTAAAAAGAGCCAGCCCGTGGATCCTGCCAGTGTTCTGCTGAAACACGCCAAGCCCGACAGCCTGGTGGGCAGTAGACACAGGTATGCCGAGCAGGAAAACGGAATTAATCCCGGAAGTACCCAGGTACTCTCTGAGAACGGTGAACTGAAGTTTCCAGAGAGAACAGGATTGCCTGCAGCATCCTTCCTCACCAAAACAGAACCCAGCAAGCCCACAGCCACGAGGAAGAGGAGGTGGTCAGCACCCGAGACCCGCAAACTGGAGAAGTCAGAAGATGAGCCACCTTTGACTCTTCCCAAGCCTTCTCTAATTCCTCAGGAGGTTAAGATCTGCATTGAAGGCCGCTCCAACGTGGGCAAGTAGAGGCCGAGGCCTGGCAGAGGAGGTGTGGCTCCCCTCTCCATTTGTATCCAGATTACTGTACTGTAGGTTAAATAACAGTATTTCCATGTTACTCTCTTCCTTTAGGTTTCTGTTCTAACCTTGTCATTAGAGTTACAGCAGGTGTGTTTGCAGGAGGCTAGTGCATATGGTTCGTCTGCAGTGTCCGTGGGGAGAAGGTGGGTGGAAGGTCTGTCAGAGCAGAAGCCACCACGCTGGCATCCAAAGTGGCATTGCGTGTGACGTCACCTGTGCCTGCTTTCCCCAGCTGCATCCTGTGTGTGCCGCCTCCCGCTAGTCTCCAGAGCGAGTTCAGTGGGAAGACACCTGCGAGGGGCTGGTGGGGGGTGCACGATGCCACGGGCAGTGAGTGAGGGTCTCTCTCTTTTCTCTGCCTCCCTCTCAGAATAGGGATTGGGGGAGGTTCAGAGCAGTGTCCCCCTGGGGTTCCCATTGTGTAAAATCAACACCAGGAACCCAGCTTCAGGGCATGAAAGGGAAAGAGGCATCAGTTGGCAAGATGGAAAGCTAGCCGGTTCAAAGATCATTTTTCTCTCCAACATATTTTACAATAAAAGCAAGTTTTAATCATCCTATAGATATATATATATATATATTTCCCCCTATGGGGCCTGACTGCACTGATACATATATATATTTTTTAAGAGCAACTGCCACACGTGGGATTTTGTTTCTAGTCCAGTGATGGTGAATGAGGAAGGCCTTGCTCTGGTCACTGGGAGTTGGGATGGGTAGGAGTTGGGGGTTGGGGGAACAGATGGAAACACCCACGCTGATTTCTGTGCAGTGTTATTTAGACAACCAATCAGGTTATTGTATCTACTTTGTTCCCAAGAGACAGGGGCAAGCTGCCTTTCAGAGAGAGCGAGGGGAGCTCTCTTGAGTTGAGTTTGCGAAAAACCTTTTTGTCTTTGAACTCTAGTACTGTTTCTAAGTTTATGACTGTGGGCAACTGGGGTGCCATGTTTTTTCAGATTCCAGTGTGACGTGAGGAAATTAGATTCTGAAGATGCGCATCTATTACTGTTCTCTAAGCACTTAACAATGCCGTGCACATTTATGGCCACGCATCTTGGTCTGTCATTTCAACGAGTACTGTATCTCACTTTAAACTCTTTGGGAAGAGAAAAAAAATTCAAAAGGAAAAAAAAAAAAAAAACCTAAGTTGCTTTCTTTCAACACTGTAACTACATGTCAGCTGTTTGGAGTTGCTTACGAGCAAGCTATTGAAAGTTTTCCATGTGGCTTAAAGGGATGAACATGAATCGTGAACTAGAATGTGACAATAAATGACCGCCACGTTACTACCTGACAGGAGGCACTTGTCACTTTTGATGTTGGAGAAAGTGAAAGGCATATGCAGAGATTGGCAGAGAAACAGAGAGAGAAAAAGGCGTGGAGAAAAGAATTCTCTTTTTTTCTTTTTTTCTGTCCAGTGTTTTTTAAGATGAACTTTTTAAAGAATCTTGCGATTTGCACATCTTGAGTTTATAATTTGTGTGATATTCCTGCAGTTTTTAAATCCAATGATATTGGTGGGAAAGGTTGGGAGGAGTGAACGAGCTTAAATAAATGTAGCAAACTTATTTTCTAACCTGCCTAAACTCTAGGCCATTTTATAAGGTTATGTTTCTTTCAGAATTCATTTGGGTCTTTCACATCTGTCATGCAAAACCAGTTCTTAGCAGGACAACTCTGACAATTTTTCTTCAGATTCATTGACGTGAGCAAGTTTTTTTCTTTTTTGAAAAAAAATGCAATTGCTTTATTATTGTTATTCATGTTATTTTCAGAATGACCTTTTTTTTTCCTCTCTCTTGTTTAATTTGGAAACAAATCAACATTGAATGTTTGGTACAAACCCAGAAAGTGTATTTCATAAAGTTGAAAGCTTTCATTCCCAGAGATTCATTTGTGAGTTTTGACTGTATCTTAAAAGTGCTTAAAAAAAAAGTTTTCTGAGTAGGGAGACGTTTTTTAATATTCTTACTTGGAAGGCTGCAACTAACCTAAATAAATACTTACCTTGGTTTCTCTTTTGCCATTTGGAAATAGTACTTTTATTTTCCAATTCTAAAAAATCAAAATAGCATAGCAAACTACATTGGCTATCTAGTATTCATTTACATTGAGCTCTTATCAGGGCTAATGATTTTTATCAACCATTTTCTGGGTGTACCAAAATCATATGAATAGGTTGAGATGAGATAGACTCCTCATTCAAGTGGCTTGAATTCATTACCTTCTCAGCGAGTTACCAGAGCTGGGTGGGTTCATTCTTAGGGTCACACTGCTCATTTAGTGCTATGTTGTTGTTTTGTTTTAACATTTCTGTCCAGAGAACTTGCTTAATCTTCCATATATTCTGCTCAGGGCACTTGCAGTTATTAGGTTTTGTTTTCCACCTCCCCTTGCTTCCCTCTCCCCCCCCACCCCTTTTTTTGTATTTTGTTTTTAACCTTTGATGGCAAAAGGAATAAGGCTGCCACATAGATTTCTTTTCAACAGTACCACTATTTATAACAGCTCGGGCGGGCTCAGAATGACAAACACACACACAAACACACACACATACACCACTTCGAGCTTACTTTAGTATTGAACTGACGATCCACTAACACCAACACTAAAATGGGTGGGGTTGAGGGGAACACATGGTTTCAGAGCAATAGGAAAATCATCATTTTTGTGGTTCTATTTCAGGTATAGGAATCATAAAATCATGGGTTGTTTGGAAACATGTCTCATTTCATTCTCTTGCTTTTTTCCCCCCTTAAAACACATGCAAGAGTCTGTGCCATTGGAGTATAACCAGTGTACTATATAGGTATATAGGTACAGCTCACATCCTAACTACTGGTGTTTTCCATGTCTGGTCCATTTTATTTGTGCTGGTTAGAGAAGGATTGGTGGGAAAGAGTCAGGAGAGAGGGAGAGGAAGGGAGAGAGAGAGAGAGAGAGAGAGAGAGAGAGAGTGTATGTGTGTGTGTGTGTGTGTGTGTGTGTGTGTGTGTGTGTGTGTGTGTGTGTGTGTGTGTGTGTGTTGGGGGGGGGCAGGGATCCTGCCTTTCATCCCAGCTGTGGCTGCTGATTGCTGGAGTAGGAACTAGTAGGAGCTTGTGTCTCTGCTGGCATGTTACAAGAGCCACAGAGGCCCTCAAAATAGTGAATGCAGAGCGTGCAACCAGCAACGGAGGCAGGTGGATTTCTTACACACTCTGGAACAATGTAGCCTGCAAACAACCCATGTTCCATGGTCTTTTTCTGCAAGTGGGTGGGCATCTCTGGGAGGGAGGATGGTCTGTGTCCTGGAGACTCTGAGGCCTGAATTTCTGAGCCTGCGCAGCAGGTGTGGCCTGTTGGGCATGCGTTCTAAGCATGCGGCCAATGGTGGTGGAGGGAACCAACTGCCAGCCACAGCCACCACTCCCACCCTGTGTGGCAGCTTTCTCTTCAGACTGGAAGAACACGCAGAGGGCAGCAGTCTCGTCTTGTTGGCAGACATTGTCCAGCCCTGAGGCTGGGGGCAGCTGTGGTCACCACTTCTGAGGATGACAGGGGTAGAATTTCTTCAGTGCCATTCAGTTCTGCGTTGGATGAGCAGCCACGTGCCTCTGTACTGTCTTCATTGCAATATCTAGCGACAACTGTCTTTCGTTCCTCTCTCCTTCCTGTTTTCCATTTTTAAAAACTAATAACAGCAGGCCTTTTGCGTTTACAATGGAACAATCACCAAGAAATTAGTCAGGGCGGAAAAAAAAAGAAAATACAATAATATTATTCATAAGAAACCAACAAACAAGAACCTCTCTTTATAGGGAATTTCTCAATATATCCAATGACTGTTCCTTTGAATGTTTCACTTGAGAATTATTTTCGGTTTGTCTGAGCCACCTTGGGGACAGAGGGGAGAGGGAGGGACACACAGATGGATGCCACTTACCTCAATCTTTTCAAAGTGGAAATCCAGGTTGTATTTTCCTTTGGACTTTGAGGATCATTTTCTATGTTGGTCCAGTTTTTCTTTGGCCCCTCTCCCCAACTCAACCAGTTTGGTTTGGGATGACTGGAGTGGGTGGCAGTTGATCCATTGAATACCTGAATTGTGACCCTGTGTGTTTTGTCAGGTGAGTGTGTTGGGTTTGCCTCCTTCCCCCACCCCCCTTCACCCCCAGAAATGGCAGCACCCTTCTTCCTCCCCCTGCAAGGAACTCTGCGGAAACCTTCACACCTCTTACTCAGGGATGGGCTGGTGTGTTTGGAACACTGATGTGTCCAGCTGCAGCACTTTGACTGCTCTGGAGTAGGGTTGTACAACTTTAAGGAATGTTTGGATTTCCTGCATTGTGTGGATTACTTCCTTAGCTACTGCATAGATTGCAATATAACACTGCATGTTCCAGACCCACAGTAGCTCTTTGTAATCAGAGAATCCACCTTTGCACCTAGTTTGACCTTTTCTGAAATACGTTGCCAAAACTTCTATTTTTGTTGTTAGTGTAGTTTTAGATCTTTTGTTTTCTGTTGTTTTAAGGAAACAATAGATAATCCCCCTTTAAACATCTTATGACTACTAAGGAAACCTGTTTCGTCAAGGCTTCTGAAGACACTAATGCCATGCTATTTTAGACTTGGGTGAGGAAGCAGAGCTCTTGGGACAGGCAGAAAACCAGGCTTTTTGAGCTGTGTTGTCATGGCAACTGTTTACTGAGCCAGGAGCAGTTCAACAAACTGGTCTGTTCTCTCCTGAAACCCCTTGTACTTCCAATTTCTTAGCCATCCTTGATGATTCCAGGTTTAAAAACAAAACAAAACAGGGCTGGCAGTCTCCATGGCCTAGTGGTTTCTCTTTGGTGGTTAAAATAATAATAATAATAATTAATAATAATAATAAAGAATGCTACTTTTTTGTTGTTTTGCAAAGTGGAGTGGAGGCCTTTGCTTCCACATGTGTGTTTTATAACCCAGAATTTCTGAAATAGAGAAATTAAGAACATAAGTAATAACTACACAGAGAATATACTTTTTTATAAAGTACATGCATATGCTATATTGTCTTGGGTTGGTTTCCTCTCTTTTCCACGGACAGTGTTGTGTTTCTGTTGATAGGGAAAACTCCAAAACAACTTGCACAACCCTACTTCGGAGCTGAGATTTCTTTTACATAGATGACCTCGCTTAACTATGTTACCTTACTGATAGGGTCTTTCCTTGTAGCACTATATACCTTGTGGGAAGTTCTTTTTGTTTTCTTTCATGTACACCTAATTTGAGAAGCTGAAGAAAAACAAAAATTGAAGCACTCACTTTGAGGAGTACAGGTAATGTTTTTCTAGAAAAATAATTGCACAAAAGAAAAATGAATGTCAATGATTCAGTGTTTGAAAGAGACAGATCTGTTGAACAATGCGTTTCATACTTTGTAGAAGACATAAAAGCAGAAGGGTTGAAAGTTACATGTTTTTCCCCCCCTTCTACTTTTTTTTTGTATATAGAAATTTGTCATGTCTTGATGACCAGATTTGTATGGCCTGGAAGAATTAGTACATGAAAGGCTCTGAAAACTATACCTATGCTTACCTTAGGTTTATTACTCAGAACCATAGTATAAGGGAGGGGAATTCTGCATTCTGCTATTTGAGAAGAAGTTCATATGTAGGCTGAAAATACTTTTTGAAGCTCCCTTTTTAGTTTAAACTCTTAAGTCATTGCATCTTTCTTTTCTTCAGAAAATATGTTTTAGCATTTTTTTAGCACTTCCTGTTCCTGTGAACCCAAAGAATATTAATCCTGAACATGAAGTGTTTCTAAATGGGATCCTAGCTACCAAGAAAATAGGACTCACTGTGGGGACAAAAATGATTAATCTTCCTTTCCACCCCCACTCCCCATACACACCTCATTTAAATGGGGGTGTAAAACATGAATTGCAATCGAAATGCCTCATCTTTAGTTTTATTTGGATTTTTTTCTTTTCCCAGAAACCAAAATAAATGTGGAACAATTTCTCAGCAGCAGTTATATTCCTGTCTGAAGATAAATAAATAAATACCAAGCTGAACAGTAACACTGGACAGCTATGGGTCTACTAAACACACCCCCCACTCTTTTAAGAGTTCTTAAATTCATAATTCCATCCCCTCCCTTCTTCTCGTAGCTAATATGCACTCATACAAAAGGGAGGAAACATCAGACTTTGGTTTTTCCTGTCTCCACCCCCATGATTTGCATACACATGGTTCAACTATATTAAAAACGAAGTGCATTTGGCCAATAGGAAGTATCTATACAAGAATTGTCTCTAAGAATTCATATCTGAAAGGACTTCAGTCTTCCACTGCAGATCAATTGGAGGCTTTCTTTCCCTTTAGTTTGTTTGCTGTCTGGATGGCCAAGGAGCCTATCTCCCTTTCCGTGGCTAGTCTGAAGGCCTGCGTGGGAAGCGCTGTTTACAGTAGTCCTTACCAAGAAATCAAACATACTGTCCTCTGGAATACCAAGTCGTGGTGACACTGGCTTTAGAGTTTTTGTCTCTAAAGATGTTACCAAGAAGGCTGGTGCATAGATTTTTGCTTTCTTTATTCCCCACCCCACCCCACCCCCTTGGTTCTTAGATGAGCCACCTACTCACTAAGTTATTCTCTGGTCCAGGAGTGGGGTAAACTCTTTGTCAGTGAATCTTGAATTTGATACCTGTGCATCCAGTTCTGTGAATTCTGCCCTCTTTGGCTGGATTTCTTCCTACCCAGCCTGAACTGGTAAAGTGTCAACCCAGGTAGTGGCAACTGAAAGGTTTCAATAGAGTCCTATCAGTATTTGTGGTGGCCTTCGGATGAGATGGAGTCCCCAATTTTAATCAGTGGGGTGCTGGCCCTAAAGCATCTGAGATTTATGCCTCTCAATGTTTTAACACCAGATTACCCACCAAACCTCCAATCGTATGCCTCCCACAGGCCAAGGGAGAACAGCTATAAAACTTGGGCTGAGGGCACTACTGGTATGGAGAACTAGGGAAGGAATGATGTTTTTGCACCTTATTGAAAAGAAATAAAAATTTAAGTGCATACATAGTTAAGAGCTTTTTATTGTGACAGGAGAACCTTTTTTTTCCATATGCGTGCATACTCTCTGTAATTCCAGTGTAAAATATTGTACTTGCACTAGCTTTTTTAAAAACAAATATTAAAAAATGGAAGAATTCATATTCTATTTTCTAATCGTGGTGTGTCTATTTGTAGGATACACTCGAGTCTGTTTATTGAATTTTATGGTCCCTTTCTTTGATGGTGCTTGCAGGTTTTCTAGGTAGAAATTATTTCATTATTATAATAAAACAATGTTTGATTCAAAATTTGAACAAAATTGTTTTAAATAAATTGTCTGTATACCAGTACAAGTTTATTGTTTCAGTATACTCGTACTAATAAAATAACAGTGCCAATTGCAAAGGTCTCCTCCCCTTCTTTTGGCTCTATAGTGCTGCTTTTTCTCCTGATCTCCGGTGCAATTACATGATCTTGCCCTGCAGAGGTTGTTAGCGGGGAGAGACAGGAGACATTGGTATCCTTGCTCATTTGGGAGGGTTGGGGGCAGAGCGGGATGTATGCTTGAAATGAGGTTCTAAAGATAAAAAGATAAAAAGGCTGAGGTCCCTATCTACTGTCCTGGTTTGTTAGTTCATGTTTGCATTTCCTGTGTGTTGAATAGGTTGTGTCTAAGGGAATTTTGTTTTCAAAAATGTGGAAGCCTCATGGAGTCACGTGGTCTTATCAATACATCCTGTAAGCTGGTTAGTGGTTTGAACATGGGAAGAACATTGACATTCCCTCACTGAGCAGGGGTCTTCTGGTACAGGTATGGGCCTCATGTTTCGTTAAAGACTGTTGCATAAAAGACTGCAAAGGGCTCAATCAAGTCTTGGAAAGACGTGGCTTAGCAGTTACACAGAACTTAAGAGAAGAGAATGGAGGTCCTGAGTTTGTCTTAGGAAGTAAATGAATGGGGCATTAAGCCCAGTGGTAACTGGGTGAATCTCAAAGACCAGACTAGAAGGGTCATTCAATGACATGCTGGCATGTTATGGGCAATCCTGGTTTAAGCCTGCTGACTCTGTCCTATTTGCTTTCATTAGATGCTAATGGATATTATGACTACTTTGGAGTTAAATGGTTGGGCTACCTCCAGGGAAACTCATTAGGGAAAATCCATAGCTCCACCAGCCGCAGTGAGGCCAACCTTGAAAACATCAGAAGTATCACCTCAGCCAGTGAGTGGATGTCAGGGATGCCTGCCTGATCTCCATCCCTGTTCAGTGTCTGAGTTGAGGCATGCTCTGACGGTAGGGGAATGGGGGGGAGACGGGATCCTCACAGCCTGTTCCTATGGGGCAGAGATAACCCAGGTAAGCCAAGGGGACTAGAACATTAGTGCTCCCCCTTCTTATGAAGCCCCTGTCTTTGATGTGAATCCGATGGGCATCTGGCAATAACTCAATCTTTACCTCTGTAGAAACTAGACTGCAAGGGAACAGCCTTTGGTCACACAGAGCCCGTTTGTAAAATCCTTTCATGAGATGGGTAAAGTAGTACATGTTACAAGGGTGTCACTCTCCTTGGCCCATGCACAGGAAGCAGAAACGGGGAAGGGAACACTGGTGGCATCTGGCTGCAAAAGTAGTCTGGAGGAAAACAGGATCCACTCATCCACTTTTAATAGATTTAAACTTTACTTCTCTCCTGTACTTTATAAATAGAGTCTTATAAGAACTAATATGCTTCAGGACTTGATTGTAGAACACAACGTGCACAGGGAGAGAGGAAATGCTGAGCCCTTAGCACAACCAAGCAGAGGAGAGGCCCCACTGTCCTGCTCTACACAGAACAACCCCTTCCCTCACACAGATGTCCAAAGCACAGCCTCTCATATTTCTAAAGGGACAAGAGCAATTTCCCCATTGGTTGTAGGTGGGAAGGGGAAAAGGGAAAGGAGTATTACATTGGAGTGAAAACGACTTGGGTTTGCAGATGTGTTCCTGCCAGACTAGAAATGGACCTGTATTTCCTCCACTTGGTAACGTGGAGGGTCTGGGTGACATCTGTCACTGGATGCCCAGGCAATGAATTCATCCTGACTCAGCTGCTCTGCATGCCCTGCTCCACTCAGAGGGGTTATGTGCAATGATTCAAAGAAACAACAAAAAGTGAACTCCTGTACCTTAAGTAAAACTTCCTGAGTGGAAGGGAACTTTCCAGGCCTCGCCTCTTCTGCTTGAGTGGCAGCCCTCTGGGGCACCTGTAGGACAGCAGCCGCAGGCGCGGATCCTTTCTCCAAGACCAGTCACCATCGCCAGCCAATTAGTGGAGCATTCTACAGAATGATATGGTCCTCCCTGGCAAGTATTCATCACCATGTCAAGGGAACAGCTCTTACGTGTGAAGCCGATGCCTTTTACGATACCACTGGGCAGAGCGTTTGCTGGGTTACAGCAGGACTCAACCTGCTAATTGCTTCACAGATAACCTTTGGATACAACACCTTGTGCAACTTCACAATACTGTATAACCTCTTTGAGAGGGGCCAGCCTGACAGGGTGGGGTCAGAGAATGGCAGGAGGAAAAGAAAAACCACAGGCCTGGTCTAGCTTGCCAGCAGCAGTTCCAAACAAGCAGCGGTAGATGACTTGCCCAGAAAGGTAGGTGCCCTGAAGGTTGAGGAAGATGTCAGCCAGAGCCACAACCATCTTAGGTGCAGCAGCCAAGAAAACAATTCTCCATGTTCCTCTGTCCCAACAATTGCCCTTGGTCTTTTCCAACCCAGAAAAGCTGAAGGCAGTGGGTGCAATGCTGTGGCTCTGAGCTTCAGTGGCCTCCAGGGTGTATCATGCACCAACAGTACCACACACCTGGTAAGACAGCAGCAAAAACCCCAGCACCCCAATGCAACTGGTGCAAGCCCTAGCAGTCAACTCTCAGGACAACAGCAATAGATTAAAGTGAAACCATTTCACTATAAAAGGAAGGAAAGATCAGGAAACAAAAAGGGTACAAAGTTGGATTGAACAGTGGAGCTCTGACTGCTGGCCCCCTCAGTCCCTGGCTTCTAGGTCCCAAGAAGGCACCAGAAGAGCCCCATGGCCTCCAGGTGGCAGGAGGGGGGAGGGAGGACGCAGTATTTCACCAGCTCCACTCAGCAGCAGCAGCCACAGGGCTGGTGAACAGTCCAGAAGGGGCATGGAAAAAGTGGCATGTGAGGCGGCTTCCTTCCGTCGAGTTAACTGAATACAGTGTTGTGCTGTTGGGTTACCCGGATGAAGGTTGCCCTCCTACTGAGCTCTTTGAGTTTGGCAGCCCCCACATAGGTGCAGGTTGACCTCAGTCCCCCGAGGATGTCCAGAATTGTGTTGGCCACATCGCCTTTGTAAGGCACTTCCACCGTCTTGCCCTCAGAGGCTCTGAAAGGGGAAAAAAAATGGAATTTGTTTCTCCTGGAAAAACTCAACTAGAATTACTCCCAGATGTAGTTTTTTGCAGTCCTCTACCTATCGTCTACCAAGTAGGCCCTCCACTGAGAGATAGCTTGATGGATTTATACACTTCACACAAAGATGCGTATTTCCCATCCCTGCCTCTGCTCAGCCCCCATCTGTGGAGAACCAACCTCCAAATCCCCAATGAGGAAACACAGACGTGACCACTGACCACCCAGAATACCTCCTACGTTAACAGAAACCCCAGAGCTTTGCTCTCCTGAGTGGTAGTCATACAACGGAACCCTGAGAGTTTTCAAAGGGAACCATTAGCATAAGGATACAGAATGAACATCTCACTGTACAAGACGCTATGTGGAAAACAAACTTTACAATTTGGGCGGGGGGTAGCTGAGGAGGTGGGAGGGAAGGGATGGTAGGGGAAAAACAAAGGAGGAGGCAACAATGCTGGATAAGAAATGTACTCGTTACCTTGCTCGTGTAATTGTAATCCCTTTGTACAGTATTTTCACAATAAAAAACTTAATTAAAAAAAAAAAGACTAAACATCTCAGGCCCTCTGGGGCTATCCAGAAAGCTCCATACCAGAGATACAAGGGCTGAACTCCACCAGCCGCGACATCAGCCCAGGGTACCCTATCCCCCAAGGCGTAAGGGTAGAGGAGTTCCTAGCACGGAGATGCTAGAGCACAGGGTCCTCAGGGCCTGGGACAGCATCATTCACTATTTTCAAAGGAGTCTTTAGAAAACTCAGATGTGAGGGGGCTGGGAAGGTGGCTCAGTGGCAGAGCGCTTGCCTTGCATGCATGAGGCCCTGGGTTCCATTCCTCGGCACCATATAAACAGAAAAGGCTGGAAGTGGCACTGTGGCTCAAGTGGTAGAGTGCTAGCCTTGAGCTGAAGAGCTGAGGGACAGTGCCCAGGCCCAGAGTTCAGGCCCCACAACTGACCAAAAAAAAAAGAAAAAAGAAAAAATCAGATGTGACATGCAACATATTAAGCAATATCTAACTGTCCCCATCCGGGCCTCCCTGTGCCTGGAAAAATAACATCACTTGATGAGAAACTCCTGGCCAAGAAGTTCAAAAGTTTTAAAGTTTTGTTTCCTGAATATTCAAGGCTCCCCCGCTCCCCCACCCCCTTGGGGCCTTTTTACCTCTTGGATAAAATCTAGCTGCCAAGGGCAGGATCCAGGGCTGGCCTAGAAACTTCTATAGACCTGTGAAAGTTCAGTGCTCGGCCCTCTGACTACAGACTGACTCATGTGCCCGCAATGGCTGCCATTTCATTCTCTTCAGATACCCCACAGCCTTCGCAGGGCTTGCTGGAAATGACCAGAAACAGCTGTCTCTTTACTAACTGGTGATGTCACCTTTTACTCGGCATTCACTGCTGACACTGAAGTCTGCTCATGGGCAAAATGAAGATCCCTGGACATCTGCCTCCCAGGGACAGCATGAGAACAAATTGGTCAGCAAGAATGGTGCCAGACTTAAATGAATGTCAAAGGAGAGGACGATTCTCAGGATAAGACTGTGGTGGAGGCTACAGGGTCCACTTGGGCAACCTGTGGGCTGGGTACTTTCCCTCCAGAACTGATGGTTCCTGATGCTTTTCTGTGATGTCTCAGGCCTCTTAGAATCCCCCTGATGGCCATCTTCTGGCTCCCTAGTGCCTGTGTGAGCTGCAGACTGCTTTGTCTTTCCCTAGCCACGGACAGGAAACAACCACAACAGCTTGAAAGCAAAACAAAACTGTCCTGGAGGTAAAGCATCCTGTCAGTGCTCAACTGCATGGCTCCACTTCTGAGGACTGAACCCACAATGCCCAGGCCCTCAGATGGTGGCAACAACTGGAGAGCCAGGAACCCACTGAGGGAGAATCCTCCATCATTTACCATGGAGAGAAAGGCGCTCTGAGGCTACCTGGAATGTGTTCGGCTTCTGACTGATACTGATATACGTCGCAGCTCCTGCCACCCTGCCCTCCCTCCTCCCAGCTGTAGTGCCTGTTTGTGAGGAGTCCGAATGCGAACTACGTTCACCATTCCAAACATCAGAAACCTGGTTGAACACTGACCACCCGCCTTCCTTTAACTCCCAGTGGAGCCACGTGACTTGACCTCTTACCTTTTCTGATACATCTGAACACTAAGCCTTCAAGTGAGCCTCTGGCTATAGAACAACCGAGAGGAAACAGGAGGGTATCAGCCAGAGAGGACTGTGGAAAACGGAAGCTAAAAATAGCAGTGAGAACTGAGGCTTCCAGGAGAAAGGCAGAAGAGCCCCTGGCCCCAGCGAGTCCTCAATGCTGGCTCGGGAGGCAATCTCTTCTGCCAAGGGGCTTCTAGAGCTGCCACACGGTTCCCGTGGAAGGGGAATGGGAACGGCCCTGAGATATTAGGGGTCATGGATTTAAACAAATATATCAGTGGACTTGAGCACGTGGGCAGTCACTCAGCTGAGTGTGCTGCTCTACAGCTCTACAGAGCCTGGGGGCAGGGCCGGGGCCAAGAGTTGCTGCACAGCATCTTTTTAGGAAAGCTTTGGCCATCGTGCAACAGTCCAGACCACTGGGCAGTGAGAAATCCATCCTTCAACCTCAGTCCCGTAGCCTGACCTCCACTCAGGCCAGAGAGGAGAGGTTACCAGGGGGCAGGAGGAGCTCAGCAAGCACTCTCTTCAGATAGGACAATATTTCCACACTGACCTAGGAATCTGGGGTGCCCCTCCACCACCAGAACACACACACACCTCCAACCTGACCACAGACACAGAAGAAGCTAGTTGGGTAAAAAGCAGAGCCAAAAAAAATGCCAACTGATTCTCAGAGTCCCCAAGCGCACACAGAAGCGCGAGTCAGAGCCGGAAGACGGGGCATTCATATGCGGCCGCCTTACCTGTACTCAGCGACTCCTCCCGCATGTTTCTTCATGGCCGTGTCTGAGCTCATCCCGTAGAACAGCTTGAGCTTCTGGCCGTTCCTCTCGATCACTTCCCCGGCACACTCCGTGTGGCCCGAGAACATCCCTCCCAGCATGACAAAGTCTGCTCCAGCTCCTACACGCCAGGGATGGGAAGAGAAGAACGGTGGAGTCAGAACTCATGGAAGAGGGACTCTGGCAAGATCCAAGTCTTTCCCAACTCACCCTCCCTGTCAGCCCCTAGGCCCAGCCTCTCTGCTTGCAGAAGGAGTGCAGGGAGACCACCAAACTGGAAACGACTTAATGGTTATTTGGACAAGAAGACCCACACACATACAGCATCTCACAAAGTGTGTTGTCTAATCTTATACTGAACGCAGTCACGCCTTAGGATCTCCCCGTGGGCATCTGGCCTCTTCAGCCCTCTGTCACTCACCAAAAGATCTTGGAGCAGACCCCCCCTCTGCACTAAGGCTGGCATGGGGAGAGAGACCCCTATGCATGTCATGTGAAACTATCTGCACTCTGAGAGAGAACATCAGATTCGCAGAGTACATAATATGTCTGCCTAGCCACCAAGTGATGTGACATTCCCAGGGAACTACAGAAGAGACAGGTACACTGACAGGCCCCATTTACCCTAGTTCATGGCATGCGGTAGATGCTCAATAGCCAGCTGTCCATGCAAAAGGAATACATGGAAGAAAGAAAAAGCCATCTTCCCTCAGCCTCTTCTTGATAACTAGGCAGGAGCTCGTGGTTAATTCATAAGCATGATGGCTTGACTGTGTTCATGGTATTTAGAGGTGGGGCTTTGGATGGTCATTAGGATGAGAAGAACCCAAGGGGGAAGAGGACAGCTCCCATGATGGCATCTGATCACTTTATAGAACAGGAAGAGCAACCAAGATGGCCTGGTTTTCTTTGTCTCACCGTGTGACATCCCCCACCATTTTATAAAGCGGCAAGAAGGTCCTTACCAGGGACCGAGCTGACACCAGCACCATGCTTCCTGGATTTCCCAGCCTCCTGAATCATGAGTCAAAGAAATTCCTTATCAACTATCCAGCCTCAGGTATTTTGTTAGTAAGATGTTAAGAAGTTACCACAAGCTCTCCTCCTCCTATTGAGAGTTCACATTTACAACAGAACATCTAGCAGGGTCCAGATGTAGTAAGTCACTAGGATCAAAGAGGAAAGGAGCAGAATGGGACTCTCAGAAGATGTCAGGCTTCCTGGGTTCTCTTACTAGCTAGTCATTTAAATACAGGAGGACCCTGGGGAGTGCATCCTCCCAGTTCACAGTGCTCCCCAGCCAGCACTCAGGTGGGCAACGCACAGTATAAACTCCTTTGGCAACAGGAAGCCACAGACCTGCTCTCTGGGGCCCTGACACCAGTGCTAGCTCCTTGATCTTCTTGTCTAAGGGGACGGACCTCAGACCTGCTGATGTCCACAACCCCAGGGAAGTCTGCAGCAGGAACACAGAGCCCAGATCCAGATGGAGACCAGCGGATCCTGGTTAGTGATTTCCAATACTCATTTCCTTTCTGAAACAACGCTTTCCCTGACCAGATCTCTCTCCCTCCAAGAGTCTCCACACAGCCCTGCACTCACGGGAAGGAGAGGGGAGGGAGAAGGCCAGGCACTTCCTTAATGGGCAGCTGCTTCAAGTGCTCAGCTCCTGCTCTGTGCAACACATGGGTGGGAAGTCTTAGAATGGAGTCCAAGATGGAAACTTATCCAGGTTAAGTAGATTCTGATCGAACACAACAAGAATGCCCTTGGCTGGTGATCCTTAGGTGACAAGGGGCAGGATCAGGTATTAGAGGTCCCAGAGTTCCCTTGTCATTTACCTCTGAAGCCCCCGTCTTTTCCATCATAAAATGGAGAAGCCAGCCAGGCGCTGGTGGCTCACACCTATAATCCTAGCTACTCAGGAGAGGCTGAGCTCTGAAGATCAAAGCCAGCCCAGACAGGAAAGACCAGTGATCTCCAATTAAACACCAGAAACCCAGAAGTGGAGCTCAAAGTGGTAGAGTGCTAGCCTTGAGCAGAAGAGCTCAGGGACAGCATCCAAGACCTGAGTGCAAGTCCCATGACCAACAACAACAACAAAGACAGAAAAGCTGAAACACAGAGGGTTTGTATGTTTCCCTTCCCCACTAAAGTCTATGGTTATACTGGGCTTCTGTCCGATTTTTATGACTGGGTTGCTAAAAGATCTTACTGTTAAGGACATGTTCTTTCTCTATCAGAGTGCTTGTTCAAAAACCATTCAAAAAAATAAAAGTTTCCTACCACAAAGGAAAAAAATGCTGGTATCAGAAAAGGGCAAGGAGGAGGAGCCTGGTCTCTCTATCAGCACAGCCCCAACACCAGTGTAAAGCCTCCATCCTCTGACTCGTGAATGGTATGCAAAGGTAAGCGGCCAGCGGCGGTTTGAGGGGCCTTGCACTGAGGTGGTGGACTACAGTGGGCACTGCTGCCCCCTAGTGGGAAGCAAACTCCTAGCCTCGGGCAAGAAAACCAGAGCAGGGGACTCCTTGCCAGATGGAGCCAGAAGAGCGTCCTGTGGTATCTCCACATCAGACCTGGCACGGGCCTCTGCCACAGACTTCCTGAGTGCTTTCCCAGTGAAGAGATCGCTTCTGTTATTCAGGACGTCTATCACCCCAGATCCATCTCCCTTCCACAGACCAGAACCAAACTGGGGCCAGGACCTTGGCCAACTGGGAATGCAGGTCATGGAGAGGAAACTCTTCACAGGCCCAGAGCTGCCCACAGGTCTCCCTCCCTCCTCCCTGCATTCAGCCTAAGCTGCGGGAACTCCTTCCACCCCTTTCTCCCTCCCTTCCTCCCTGGCTCATCCTTCTCCTTACCAAAGGCTTTGGCGACATCTCCTGGACACGTGCAGCCGCCGTCCTTGGGAAAGAGCAAGAACAGGGTATCAGCACGGATTGGAGCACAGGCTGGTCACACTGTGTCTCCCTGCGGAGACGGTGACTGGGAATTCCCATCATCCTGCCCCCCAGCCAAGGACCTGGCCCAAAGAGCCCCCCTTGTATTCTGGTTTCATTCATTCTGCTAAAGACCACCCAGAGCTGGTACCCCTGCATCCCCCCAGCTCAGGCATCCCGTCTAGGGAGAAGGCAGTACCAGCAGCTCAACTGTGGAGGCTGAGCACCATCCTGTGCCAGCCCGTTCTGCCATCCTGGCTCATTCTGGCCACACCCTTCTCCCTCCCTGCCATGTAGGAAATGAGGTTTATTGAGTACAAAAGGCTGGATAATGTTGGGAGCTGAGGAAAGGGCAGTCACTACATCTTGCAGGCACCCCATGGGTCTCCTGGGCTTTGTGTACTGTACTTGTTATCTTGGAAGGCTAACATTGTCCCTGACACTCACACTGCCCACCTCCTGCTCAGGCAGGGAGGTGGGGACTGGTACCCTGGGAGACAGCATGGTTCACCTGGGGGGATGGGGAGTGTGTTGCACACCAGCCACACAGTTCTGCGATGTGCAACTCCTTGTTTCCACACCAACAAGAGACCCAAGAATGGCAGCTTCTAGCAGGGGAACAGCAGCAGAGCCCACAGCTTGGTATGGGTCCCTCAGGAGAGAAGCTCCTGTTCCCAGGAAGTATGACCAGGCACACTTAAGGACTGAACAGAGAATATCAGCCGCCTGGGCTACCTTGGGTGCCAGTCTGTAAGAAAAGTCCCATTTGCTCTGGAGCTGGAGGGTGTCTACATAGAACTGGGGTGAACCTGGAATATTTGGTTTCGGTTTCAAGAAAAACTATGTAGCCCAGACCAGCCACCCAAGCGCTGCGATTACAGGCATGCACCACCATGCTTGGGCTCTGGAAGGAACCATTTATTTTTTTCTTTTTGCAAAAGGTATTCCGTCCCCTACTCTGAGAACACAGGCCTCTGTGAGTCCTGGCTTCTTTTCTGGCTTATTAGGCCTGTCACACCGGGAGTCAGAACTCAAAGCCTGCTTTATTGTTTCCTTGGAGTTCTGATCAAAGGAGAGGCACTGAAGACTTGCTCTTTTGAGTTATAAACATGCTCTTGCTGGGATTGTTTGCTCAGATGAGTGTTCTGTTGTGATGTGGCTCCCCGTACTTCCACAAGGCCATGGGTATGGAAGCATGACTGATGAGAGGCCGGCTCTCCACACAAGGTATCTAGGCAAAGACAAGCCTCTCATGTGATGACAGCAACAGGGCCCTGGGCCCCAGACACCTCGTCACCGTTTCCTAGCTCCGGCATGCTTGTTTATTTTCTCTTTCAAAAGGAAAACCTCCATCTGCCCTTCACTTGCCCTGTGAATTCATGTTCCAGGTGCTTTCCTCTTTTAAAACCAGCTCTACACAACAGGATTCCAAGTTATAACCTCAAAGAGAGAAAGTAAACACAGATACCCATTAAACATAGGTCGCTAACAGTCTGACTTGGAAATATGTGTGCTCTTCTATGCAAAGCTGACAGCTACCACGGGCATGGAGACTGGGGGAGAGGGGTTCGGAGGCTCCCAGGTGATTGTGGGTGGTGAGAAGGCCTGAATCAGAAGCCCAGTGTGACTGGGACTGAAAAGAAACCTGTCTGTCTCCTCCCACAATGACCCAGAGTTAGTATAAGAAGAAACTGTCTTCACAGTGTCACCTGCTGCTTGTATATGCACTGTGAAGTGGACAGTGGGGGCCAAGCAAGCCAAGGACAGTGCAGCTTCGCATGGTGCCTTGCAGGGTTAGAAATCATCTAGAGAGGGCTTAAAACACATGAAGGTGCACAAGTGCTAAGCCACACGGTGACTCCCACCATGGGTCATGGAGCCAACCGTAAGGACTCCATACGTATAAAACACTGCCTGAGAGCTGGGGGCTCATGGCTCACACCTACAATCCTAGCTATTAAGGGGGCTGAGATCTGAGGCTCGAGGTTCCAAGTCAGCCCAGTCAGGGAAGGCCATGACTCTTATCTCCAATTAACTACCAAAGAGGCAGATGTGGCACTATGGCTTAAGTGGTAGAGCACCAGTCTTAAGATCAAAACAGAGCTGAGGGACAGTGCCCAGGCTCTGGGTTCAAGTCCCAGGACTGGTGCATATGTGTATACCCAAATGCACGCGCGCGCGCGCACACACACACACACACACACACACACACACACACACACACACACACACATAACCACCAGCTGAACAGAAACCAAGTGGAGCTCTAGCTGTACCACATCTGCTGTTCTGACCTATCTGGAGCCTCCCCTCACAATCACTACCCACAGGGGCCAGCAGGGGGTGTAAGTTAAGGACCCAAGTAAGAGCACAGGTTTTAGGTGTGGCTCAGATAAATGACATCAGACCAGAAAGGTCAAAGTCCTGAATTCAGGGGCTGGGAATATGGTTTAGTGGTAGAGCACTTGCCTAGCATGTATGAAGCTGTGGGTTCAATTTCTCAGTACCACTCTAGTGGTACTCTAGTGGTGGAGTGCTAGCCTTGAGCAAAAGCAGCTCAGGGACAGTGCCCAGACTCTGAGTTTAAGCCCCAAGACTGGCCAAAAAAAAAAAAAACAGAAAAACAAAGTTCTGAGTTCAAAACTCAATACATTGATATTAAATGGAGTCCAGTAACTGACATCTATAAAAACCAGCTACTTGGAAGGCCCAGAAGATCTGAAGGACTGAGGCTCAAGGACAGCACAGGAAGAAAAGTTCATTAGATTCCATGTCCAAAAGAACCTGCAAAAAGCCTGGCAAAAGGTATGGCTCGGGTGGCAGAGCACCAGCCAAACACTGACCAAGTGAGAGGCCCTGAGTTCAAGCTATTGATATGGAAAACAAAAACCCACAAAAATCAAAGTTTTGCCTTACTAGGTATTCATTCAATCCATAATGCCATGTCATAGCTGATGCCCATAGTGCCATCCTTCTGAAAGCCCCTGCCGGAACACTGCGTACCTGTCCTCACCTCCAGCCTTCCCTCCCCTACCCCTGGGCCTGCCTCACTAGTTTCCACTGAGCTGCTGGCAGCATCTGGTGCCCAACATGCCCCCTCGTGCTGGGCACTCCCACCCCAGGGCCTGCTGCCACGGGTACCTCTGAGATCAACCACAGACTCCACGGGAGGCCCCCACAACCTAGGGGCTTTTGGTATAGAAATCTCCAACCCCTACACCCAATAGGTGCCTTGAAACCAATGTGAACCTGTGGTGCCTCTCCTTCCCCATTCTCCCCCTCTTCAAACATCTCACGATTGCCCAGGCTTGCCTAATCCCCTCCCCAAACACCTGCTGGGACTGTGGATGGTTGCGAAGCGCTGCTGTCCACAGTTTAGTAGGGGGCGCTGTCGCGTCCCACCCAAATCACCTCCCTTCTTACCCAGTTCCCCAGGGAAGCCCACTTCATGTTTCTGGAAGACAAGTCCATGCACTGGGCCCTCTCCTGCTCAGCCCTGCTCAACAGCTCCCCCAGGCCCCTAGGAGAAAGCCACAGCCACGGCTACCTCTACACTGAGGTGTTTCTTGATTCCTGCTTCCCTTCCATCTTCCACACTATCATGGACCCCAGAAAAATCCTTCCTGACTCCCCAAATCTGAGCTTTGTGACTTCTTACAGGTCGGACTATATCCTCTAGCCCCCAAATTCCCATTCAGGGCTGTTACAGATGGAATTAGTTAAGCCCAAGTGTCCTGGAATAGAATGGATCCCATACCATGGGACCAGAGTCATTCTAACAAGAGGAACTGGAGTCAGACAGGGTGCACAAGAGCCAAGCCATGCCCACAGGGCCTCGGGCTGCCACGGGCTCTGGATGAGCAAGGAGTAGGAAAATGGCTGGCACAGCGCCTTCCTGCCATCCGGCCACCACCTGCCCTGGGATTTCCAGCCTCTGACTTGGTGTTCAGCCTGGGAACGTGCTTACAACAATCCCAGCAACCCTCCCGGATAGGCTCCCTGGGGCCCCAGAGCTGGCTGGGGGACCCCCATCAGACGATCCGCCTCCCAGTTCTGTCACCAATTCCTGGCCTGCCACCCTCTCAGCACACTGCATGGGGGACAGAGCTGGTCTCTGCGGGGTGTCACTGTGCCCGCACTGTGGCCCATCCCACCCCAGCCCCCCGAGACTCACAGAGATGATGTGGCCCTTGAGGCCATGGGCGGAGTCTGCGCACTCGATCACGGCGCTCAGCTGGGGGTAGCCCACCCCGGTCTTGGTGCGGGTGGTGCACACTGAGCCTAGCAAAGGAAGAGATGGTTACACACGGTGGAATGGGACACAGAACATCACCTTCCCACGGCCCATTCTAGAGATGAGGTAGCCTTTCCATGGCACAGGGCACGTGCCAGGTGGAGCCCTTTACCACCCAACCTGGCCACAGGTGCCTCTGGTCCTCAAACACCCGCTCCTCATCGCTGCCCACTGCCCCGCCCACCCCTGGCATCAACTACCTCCTCTTCCTTCCTCACTCTTCCATGCACCCCAATCCCCTTCTAAGGGCCACCCAGAATCCACAGGCTTCTCCACCTTCAACTCCTGCCAAGTCACCGGGCTCTCCAACCTCCTAGCCTGGCCTGTGAGACAGAAAAGCCAACACCACCCCTAAGGCTGTGGCCAAGATGAAATGACCAGAATGCTTGTCCCAGGCCTGGCCTATGGCAACCTCTGAGGAGGAGCCAGTGCAAGTGGATTACTACAGCCACCCCCTCACCCCTACTCAACCCTGTCTCCAAAGCCGCTCAGCCATTTCTCCTTCCTGAGCCACAGTCTACCTTACACCTCGTCCTGTCTGCCTCAAATTCTCACCTGGGTAAGATCCCGCTTTACAATATGTACAGCAGCACCTGGGTGCCTTCCTGACTTAGGACCTTCCTTCCCTGTCAAGCCTTATTAGGATTGTATCCTCCCAGTTAGGTCTGGGGGGAAAGGGCGGGGCGGGGGGGGGGGGGACAAGCATATTCATCAAGTGTTCCCCATCCCCTAGAGACACCTTTGTGCTTTACTTAAATTAGCTGGATCAAGCCCTACCTGCAGCCCTCCTCCTCTCCCACCAGCTCATCTCCACCTGCTGCTTAGCAGACACCCTTCCCTTTCTTTCCTCCCTTCTTCCTTTCCTTCCTTCCTTCGCCCCCCCCCTCTTCCCTCTCCCCCATCCCTCTCCCTCTATCACTCCCCTCTATAATAAACCCCCTTTATCCAGCCACTCCTTTCCCATCCTTCAGGCTTCATCTGAAATGTCACAGCCCCAGGGAAGTTGTTGTCACAGCATTTCTTTCAAGAAGAAGTATTTAAGCAATTATTCCTGCAACGGCTGTGAGGACCTGTTTTCTCAGCTGGATGGTAAGCTCATGGACATTCACCACCTCTTTACACAATGCCAAGAACAGAGCCTCGGACACATTAAGGTCACTATAAATAGAACTGAGAGAACACGTGGACTCAAGAATGAGTGAGTCACGAGGTCCTGTGGCCATTACTCTGCCACTCCCTGGCCTCCTCCTGGTGTCCTGTGGTTGCCCACTGTGGGCCAGAGTGCAACTCTTGCCCAGGATTGATTAGTAATGGCCTCAAGTGAGTGCAGTGTGAGAACCACCCAACAACAGGGCAGCTGGAAATTTCCCTGCATGCTGAAACTGGGCTTCTTCCAGGCCACAAGGGCTGTGCCTCAATATTCCTTACATGCAGCCTACTCCTCAGCTCAGTCCCAACCAATGGGGCCCTCTGCCTCCAGCTGTTTCCCCTCCCAGTCTCCTCCCATTGGCTATGCTCTGCTTCCTACTCTAGCTGGTGTATTTTGTTGTTTTGATGGGGGACGGTACTGAGGCTATCACTCCTAGCCTCCTACTGGCTAGACAGGTGCTGTACCACAGAGTCATGTCTCTAGCAGGGGCAAAATCTTGCTGGTGAGGAGTCAATGGTGATAAGCCTCATAGGATCCCACATGCAATTCTTGGGGGGTGGGGAGGGGAGGGGATGGGAATCTGCTTTCTTCTCCTAACTCAGTGGGGCACCCACAGCATGGCCCACTGACTACCCTTCCCCCAGGACAGTTTCCCAAAGTTCTTCAACCCAATCTCCAGCCTCAAATTCCACTTCCCCATCCCTACCCTGGAGGGGCAGGTGCCTGAAATTCTTAGAAGCAGGTGGGGCAGGGGACTTACACAATAGGTTCCTGGACCTGCCAGATCTGTGCCACAAACTGGGGAGACTCTTTGAACCCTTGATCTCCCTGTCGCCCCACCCCCTAACCACAAGCCTACTTACTCTCCTCCATCCCTGCCACCATTACACCAAACCTTGTGTCTCCTGACTCTCCTCAGGGAACCCTGGCATCCCTCTTCAACTCGCCATCAAAGTTGATCTGCTCTGTTGAGATCATTTTCTGTTCTTTCTTTATTCTAATACCCTCATGATTCAGTTTCCCAACAGATGGTGCTGAAAATGACTTGGTTTCCTAACAGGAACCGGGGGATGGGGGAGTGGAGGGGTCCTTCAAAGACTGACATGAATTCAAGTCACCGGTGGTATGCTTACTGATTCTTCAGCCCTCCCCTTCCCCTCAGGAAGTGTATGGATCATTAGCAAAACTGGAACCTGCATTCATTAACATTAACCTTGGACCCAGGATATGCTAACCAGGCCACCCAGCTCAATGCTATCTCAGGGACTCTGTCCAGAAGCTCCATGCTGCTTTCTAGAAGAAATGTGAGTCCCTCATGAGTTCCCCTTCTGGCCATCTCCAGTCCTCCCAAGCCTCTGCCACACTCCCAGGGGCTTTACCTGGCCCGACTCCCACTTTGATGATATCAGCTCCAGACAAGATGAGCTCTTCCACCATCTCTCCTGTCACCACATTCCCAGCCTGGGACAGAAAGAACACAGCTCGTGACCATGAATGCAACTTCCCACCACAACTCCGGGATATGTGTGTGTGTGTCCACAAGAGGGATGCAGCACATGGAACCCAATTCCTTATCACTGGAAAGAAAATGCTTCCAAGGAAACACTAGATCATCTCTCAGCTAAGAAATTACCTGAGTGTCTGGCCCTGGGCTGGGCTTTCAAACTAGATCTGAAAGAGCGGGTGATTTTTCATAGATCTCCTGCTGTTGGCACATGCTCCAGCCACAAAACACAAAGCTTTGGTCCTAACAATAGGCGCACAAGCCAGAAAGTAGTAAAATCAACCCATCAGAACCGTGCATCTGGGTTGGAAACAGAGGAGTCTAGAACACAAAAATAACTTTTCATTACAACACTCTGCCCTGTGGATTCTTCAACTTGTACAGAATATTTGGCAAGATGCCCTATATGGAGAATTCTAGTGGTGTAATTCCTTAGAAAAGCTAGGTCACAGTCCAACAAAATGAATACCAGGAAACAGGGACTCCAAAGGTGAAGGGGTGGGGGAATGCAGTCAGAAAATTCTATGCATATCCTACAAAATTAAGAAAATTGAGGAGTGTCGTTGGGAAGGAGGGGGTGAATGGCCAAAGGGGTGACCTGGATCAAGATGCAATGTATCCATAAACTGCTTTGTTGAATGGCAATTCTTTTGTAACAACTACTTAAAGATAGTGAAAAACCAATTTTGGGTTTTTTAACCTAGACCAAGTGACTTGAACTTCCTAGAAGGGTTATAGGAGTGATGAGGCTGGTCCAGAGCTACTTTAATACAAACACCAGCTAACAATGGAGGACAGCAAGTCCCCTAAAGTCAAAAGAAAACTTGGAATACCTTCAATAACTGAAGGCAAAAAACCCAACTCTACATAAAATATTAACTACTTGCAAGCATATAAACACACACACACTCATATAGTCAACAAATATATGCTATTATATAAGAAAAATATGTGCTATTGTAACAAAGGGCCCCAACCTCACCACAAAAGGCTAGGAAGTAGCTCTGCCTGTAATCCCAGCTATTCAGGATCAAAGTTCAAAGCCAGACAAGGCAGACAAAATCACAAGTGTCTTATAGCCAATTAACCAGGAGAAAGCAAGAAGTGGATGTATGGCTCACATGGAACAGTACCAGGCTTTAGCAAAAGAGCTAAATAAAAGCACAAGGTCTTGAGTTCAAGCCCCCGTACTGGCAAGTGCTCTCACACTCTCTCTCTCTCTCATACTCTGTCTCTGTCTGTCTCTCTCTCTCATTTGAATCCATAAGTAAGACACTGACACCTCACAGGGTAATTTCCAAAAGATACAAACAATAAAAGAAAGAAAAGCAATTTAGGAAAATGGGGCATATGTCCAGCCTCAATAATGAGCAAAATTAACCAACCAATGCTGGCCTGCTTGTCACTTAACAAATGATCAGTCGATATAAACAATAAATATGGAAAGACAAAACATTAGATAGACTCTTGCTGCTGGTAGAATGTTTATTTTTGTCCAAGTTTTCTTGGAAGGCAATTTGTCTACATAAAAGAAATGCAAAAACAATATGCATATGCTTTGATTCATTAATTCTAAGATGCTCTCCCAATGAGATCATAAATGAGGACAGAGATTTGCAAAGATACATCACATCTAACCATGTAAAACTTCATATATATTCCCATAATAGGAAAGGCCTGACAATTAATGGTCCATCCATGTGACTGGGGGAACGGGAGGCATGGGTGGGGATAGAACTCAGGGCTTCATGCTTGCTAGACAAGTGCTCTCCCATGTAAGCTAACTCCAACTAATGTTCAGAAGACTGATTTAATGGCATAGGAAAATCCTGACTGCTTTCAGTGTAATGCTGAGAGAAATGGTAAGAGTTCAAATTTTGTTTAAAATTTATGATATCTATATATATGTGTGTGTATATAAAAGTAATACACCAAAAACATTAACAAGGGCTGGCAAGGTGGCTTAGTGGTAGAGTAGTTGCCTAGTATGCAAAAAGCCCTGGGTTCGGTTCCTCGGTACCACATAAAAAAGCCAGACATGGCACTATGGCTCAAGTGGTAGAGTGCTAGTCTTGAGCAAAAGAAGCTCAAGGACAGTGCCGAGGCCCTGAGTTCAAGCCCCAAGACTGGCAAACAACAACAACAACAACGCTAACAAATTAGGTAAAGGGATTACCTCACTTTTATAACTAAATAGGAAGTCTTTGGTTTAGGTTTTCATTTGGCTTTGGTTTTGGGTTTCATTTGCTTATTTGTTTGCTTTTTTGTTTCTTAATACTGGGGACTGAATTCTGACCCTCACTTGCTAAATAAATACCACTTTGAGCCACACTTCAAGTCCTCTTGTTTTATATTTTGGTTCTGAGACAGTTTCCCTAACTTTGCCTGGACTGGCCTCAAATCTCAGAATCCTTTGCTTCCTGACTTGATGGGATTATAGGCACACAACATCAAGCCCAGCCTTGGTTTTGATTTTTGCAGTGCAAGAAACAACCTGAATTCTGTACCTGAGAAAGAGCTTAATTGAGCCATGAGAAACAAGAGCTCTTCCTCACTGGCTGACTTAAAATTTTTTTTTTATTATCTTTATTTTTACAAAGGAAGTGCCATTTAACAAAGCATCTTGATCAGTGTCACCTCCTGCAAAATTCTCACCCTCCTTTGACCCACCCCTTCCCTTTTAATTTTGTCGGTATACAAATGAATCCTCTCCTCTTGGTCCCAACCCCCTCTTGCCTGCACCCATTTCCTGGTGCTGATTTTGTTTTGCTTTGACCTACTCTTTTGTTGTTGTTGTTGGTCGTGGGGCTTGAACTCTAGGCTTGGGTGCTATCCCTGCACTCTTCAGCTCAAAGCAAGTGCTCTACCACTTGAGCCACAGAGCCACTTCCAGTTTTCTAGTGGTTAATTTGAGATGAATCTCACAACTTTTCTGCCCGGGCTAGCTTTGAACCATTATCCTCAGATCTCAGCCTCCTGAGTAGCTAGGATTACAGGCGTGAGTCACCAGCACCCGGCTGACCTAGTCTTTTGAAACATTATACTATCTGAGGTCACCATAAGTCAATTATATTTTAGTTCATTCATTTGTAACCACTTGGATACCACCCAATGTGTTTACTTAAAGATTTATAGGTACATTCTACCTATCACAAATGAGGGAAATCATGCAACCTTTGTTTCTCTGGGTCTGGCTTACTTCACTTAATATAATTTTCCAAGTCTTTCCATTTACTTATGAATGATATTCTAATAAATGAGTAAAATTCCACTGTGTTTATGTACCACATTTTCTTATTCCATGCCCCCAGTGAGGGGCATCTGGTGCTTTCCACATCTTGGCTCTGGCAAACAATGCTGCAATGAACATGGTTGTGCTGGTAGCTTTACTGTAACCTGGTTTGTGTGACTTTTTTTTTTTTTTTAACAAGAAGAAAGTCAACAACCAAACTTAAAACACCGCTTTCATTTTCACCATGGATTCTTCTCGCTCTAATCTGTTCCTAGAAACCATTTTACTTTCTAGAACCTGTAATCCTAGCTACCCAGGAAAGTGAAATCTAAAGATCATAGTTCAAAGCCAGCATGGTCAGAAAAGCTCATTGAGATTCTTATCTCCAATTAATCTCTAAACTGCCAGACGTAGAAGTGGGGATAGAGGGGGTAACAAACCAGTTCTGGGCAAAATAGCTAAGGTACGGTACCTAAGCCATGAGTTCAAGTCCCAGGACTGACGTACACATGGATACATGCACATATGAATACACAAACACACACACACACACTAATACAGATACACATATATGACTCAAGAGCGTTCCCATCCTTTCCTCCATGTGAGGACACAGGAAAACACAGACAAATCTCAACTAGGAAGTACTTCTCACCAGATACTTAACTGGCCTTGAACTTGGACATCTAGTTCTTCAAAAAGTAAGAAATAAATTTTTGATATTTATCAGCCTCAGTTCATGCTATCTTGTGATAATAACTCCACCAGACCAAAGCTGTTTAGTCTCATTTTTTTCTAGCTTTCCTTTAGGTACCCTTATCTATAATAAACAAAGCTCACAAAAACTCAGGATGTACTGTGGCCCTCCTCCTTCTGGGCAGTTATGAGCACGTCACTTCAACCCTGAGGCTCAGCTTGTCCAGCTGAGGACAGCTTGGGGAACAGCATACCTACCTGTGGTCATCATAAGAGCTTTATGTCTACATAAAGCTCTACCAAACCTTAGCCCAGGGCCTGGCTCTCAGTGACCCCAGGAAATGTCAATCCCTCTTCTTAACAGTAATTTCCAGCTTTTTTCTCAGCTCTTTCCTTCTCAGCTCTTTCCCAGCTCTCTTAGCATTTTTTCCTAGCTCTCTCTTTCCCTGCTCTTTTTCTCAGTTCTCTCTCTACCTCTTTCCCAGCTCTTTCCCACCTCTTTTCCCAGCTCTCTCTCTTTCTCGGGTCTTTCCCAGGCCTTTCCCAGCCACGTGGAGTGCCAACCTGGCCTGGTCCCAGCAGGTCTACTGAATAAACCTACCCTTTACCTGAAAAAAAAAAAGAGTAATTTCCATATGCAGCTCTTCCCACACCCAGTTTTGAGTTTTTGTGTATTTTTGGTCAAAGTCACAGAACAGTTCCAACTATTTTTAAGTGTACTGCTCAAGGACAGCGAGTACATTCATACAGTTGTACAACCATCACCATTATCCAGTTCTAGAAGTTTTCCATGATTCAAACATATTATTCATCCATTCACCCACGTTTCACTGGCTTTTACTGGGGCCCTCTGCCAAGAGAAAACATTCTACAGGATGAAAACGGCAGGGGTCTGTCAGGAAGCAGGAAATGGGGCTGGATTTGACCCATGGATAGCCATTGCCAATCCCAGTATAGTGTGACAAAGCATCCACCCCAGCACCCCTCCTGAACCCAGGGACCATGCTGCTCCTTAGCAAGCGTGGATGC